ATCTAACAAATGAACACAAACAAGCACTCAAATCTCATACGGTTTCTGTGAGCTAGGAATTATGCGGTGGTCTCACGGCACAGGGAGGTGACATTCAAGATGGCAGCCGGATCTGTAGTCATCCAAAGGCTTGGCAGTGGCTGCCAGATCTGTACTAGCTGTTGATATGAAACGGATTCCTCCCATGGGCGCCTCAACAGACTACAGGAGTGGCTCACATAGCAGGTCTTCCTCAGAGAGAGAGTGTGATCCAGGAGATGAAGAGACACCCGGTATATTTTACCACCTGTTCCCTTGAGCGGCAGTGGCAGGCTCATCCCTGTGAGTTCTAGTTCAGCCTGATCTACATAGCAAGTTCATGACTTCTTCATGAGACCTGGTCTCAAACAAAAATGTTTATTCTTATAAATCCTTAACCATTCTCTTAGATTTGTAACCCAGAAGCAAGTCTCCAAGCACAGCTCACACCCTAGGGTGGAAACCCAGGCCCCACCTCTTGATGGAAAGGGCATGGAGAATTCTGGGAAAATGTTAAGTAGAATGGTGTAGTGGAGGGAAGCAAGGGCAGCAGGATTTAACAGTGGGCTGAACTGACGGCGACAGCAGGAACCAAATACATGAGGGTGAGCTGGCTTAGGGCATCCCCCGCCCCCTTCATCCTCCAAGGGAAACGGATGTGGAGGAAGGAGGAGAGGCTGGGCATGAACAGAGCCGATGTGTGGTGGGTCTGAAGAGGACGGAAACAGGAGAGAGCAAGAGGCTTGGGGATGCTGCCATTCAGAAGAAGCCCATGGAAGGTTAGACATAAGGCCTTTCTCTTCTGTCGGGGGCGTGAGGAACAGGATCAAAACAGCTTGCCCTGTCTGTGTGGCCTGTGGACTAATTCGTTAAGAGTTACGGTCTATTTAGTAGCCCTCCCCCCTCCATTGGCAGGACTTGGGCTCTCTCTGTGTAGATCAGTCTCGCCTCAAACTCGGAGATCTGCCTGCCTCTGCCTCCCATGGCTGGAATTAAAGGCGTGTGCCACAGTGCCCTGCCTTTCTCTCTCTCTTAAGACTTTGTATTCTCAGTACACTCACAGCACTGACCACACAGTGGGAACACAGAATTAACTGGAAAGAACCCAACGAACAAGAGAATTTGGGCTTTCCTGTGACTCGGGATCCAATGTGCTCTATCCTATAAAGGGACTGAAAATGGATAGAAAGCTGAAATTTACATACAAGTCTTAGGAATGGCCATGAGTCCAGAATCCATGGACCAGTGAAAGGAAATAAATGTGGAAGCCTTGGCTAGCACAAGCATCCAGAATGACACTCTACCTGAAGCCCCTCCCATTTTCATTGGAGCCAATGGCTAACGATGCCTCTCTGGGCAAACAGGGTTGGAAGTGGCTGACTCTCACCTAACCTGGAACTGGAGACAGGGCTCTGAGCTCTGTACTATCTTGAGGGGTGGGAGCCATGAGAGTCTTGATGCCGTGAGCTAAACTTTCCTCCTGCCCTGAGGGAAAGCCAGATGTCCTTTCCCTCCTGTCTTTTGGAAACCTCCTGGACCAGACACCCAGAGGTCTGGACGGGAAGTCCTGGGGCATTCATAGAAGGCAGCAGTTGCTAGGTGACCACTTGAGGAAGCCTCTCACCTTGCTGAGCAACCTCCCTGCTTGCTCAGTTTGCTGTCTGACTCCAGGCAGGACCAGAAGTTCATGTTTAAGGAGAGACTACCTGCAGCAGAGGCCAGGAGGTTGGTTGTGTTGGAGGCCTTCAGTATCACCTCTGCTACCAATTTGTTGCTCTAAAAAGAGTCATTTGTGCCAATTAGAACTTGATTAGTAATGGGGTGTCCTATCTGGAAGGCAGGTACAAGCCAGTTGATCAGGGAAGGTGACACATTCCTCGAGGCTCCAATTTTTCCCGGACAGTTCGGCTTCAATTAGTGCTCTGAGAAATGGGAAAAAGAAGTGTTCTTGCCCCTTCCGGGTTGCAGAACCTCGAAGAGCTCTTGATATCCAAGACCAGTCACCCCAGGGTGTCAGGATGGGCCTCTGTCTGAATGAGTTCCAGGATTACAGGCCTGGAGATTTTTGCTTTCGTCACTTTACAAACATGACACCATGATTTCAGAGCAAAATCAGGCACGAAGGGCCAGATCCTTCTCCTGTGTCTACTGGATGAAAAGGAATTTCCTGTGGCCCACAGTGACCTTTCCCCTAAGAATTGATTCTCTATATGAATGGCTCAAAGCAAGGGAAATAGGCCAAAGTGATGGGTTTTCTCTTCTGGGGCTCCAGGCAACCTGAAGAAGCCAGCAGCTGTAGGGTCAGAGGACCAATGGAGAAGGGGAAAGACCTAGGGGTTGGAGGGTCTAGATGCTGACAGAGGCCTCCAACCAATGGCCAGCAAGGTGGGTGGGGACTCCCCCATTACAGCCACAAGAAAATCAACTCTACCAACAATGTGAACAAGTTGGGTCTCCAGCAGATCAAGGCAGTCTTGGGAGACCTTGCGCAAAGGGGCCAGCTATGCCATGCCTGGGCCCCCGTGCTGGGAAATGGGATACAGCTGTAGCAATAGAAAGCCAGTACTGTGTCATGCCTGGGTTGTCATCCATTGTCTAACTATGACCCTAATGGTCATTTTTATTGCTCAACTAGTCACATGGCCCCTACAATGGATTCTTGTAACTACACCCGAGCAATTTGTAAGGAGCCCATAGCACAGCAGAGTGCTCTGCACACAGTAGGTATTGCCTAATTCACAGTAATGGGAATAGGATCTCCACCCTTCCTTAGTCCAGCTAAGCCAACGTGTCTTTGGTTGAGGTACATGTGGCGAGCATGTGCTATAGCCTATTATCCTCCTTTCTATTGCTCCTCAGAGGTTCCTAGAACCCGCAGCCCGTCCACCAGGTTTCTGAATCCACAGATCAGGTAGAGGTATACTGGTTTTCAGTGGCTTTTAAATGAATTCTTAGTTTCCAAGTGCAAAAATCCAAGGGCCCCCATAGCACCCATCTTCCATTTAAACAGCAAAGAAGGTATCTCCATCCTCCCCAACCGCTTCAGCTCTCTGCAGCACCCTTCAGCGGTGACTCAAGCGGACGCATCCGTTCTTAAGCAGACCAGACATCAAAGCCGTGTTAGGCATTTGCTACTTTTTATTCACAGGATTACAGAATATATAGAATTAAGAGGCATATCATGTGTTGGATCTATTTTCCAAAAAGAGCTAAGTATATCCACAGCTTGAAAACACATCCATCATTGTCTGCTGTAAAACTTACTTCCGTGTACATAGAAAGTATTATTTCACCTAAGTTGTACATTTAAAATACATAAAAACAGTAACAAATGGCATATTGGCCTATTTCATCACAGTTCTCATACATTCCTGATAGTCAAGGGGCTGGACAGGGAATGCATTGTTTCCCACTAGGAAGAGGTGGCTGCTGGCGCAAGCGATGAGACGTGGTAAGGGGCAGAGTGCCTCAGCTGAGAGCTCAGAGGCCCGATGATGTCGTTATTTGAATCAGCATCACAATGGATGCTGTTCAATTATTGGCATGCTGCTGATTTGCCTGGTCATTCTACCCTCTGCTAAGGCAACAGAAATTGTGATTACTCTTTCAAGCTTATTCCCACTCTCCCCAAAGCATTTGCTCTGTAGCCATCTGCCCTGCGCTCTCCCCCTTTTGCCACGGTGCCCCGGATCTGAACCACCTTGTTCACTGCACCTGCTGATAGACTGCTGATTCTGCTCCAGCGCACTGTCCGACAAAACCCTCGGCACTACCTAATGAGGTAACTTCTTTTCGAAGCTTCACACAAGGCCTGGTTCTTCTGCAGAAGGATCTGGAAGCTGGCTAGAGGGTGTCCTTTTAGGTGGCGTGCAAAGAGAAGCCCCTCAGATATTCACCTGACTGGCATGGCGCTCCGCCAGCCAGAGAAATTTCCATCCTGAGCACCCCTTGGTGGCTCAACTTCCAGCATCTCACACTGATTTCTTTCCTAAAAACACGGCAGCCTCGCTCCTCAGAAAGAAGAGCACAACACTGTTGCTCTCCGTGAGCTCCCCAAAGGCCGGAGAGGGCCCCAGAACAATTCATCATTGCTCCTGCATTTGGGTTTTTAATTTCTCTCTCACAGACCTCATCTTATCTGGTGGACATCGTGACAAGAACCAGATGTGTCCAGCCTCACCACTCCTCCCATGGCTATGTGGGAGGAGTTACAGCCTTGCCTGCTAGAAATCCTCTCCAGACAACTGAAGCTATCCGACGTTTCCGGAAGGCTTTCTCGAGCCTGGCCGGGCATGTCACACAGTTCTAGGGGGTTTGCTAATTGTTCACTGAGGGTGGAATGGTGTCTGTCAGGCATGACTTCTTCTGGCTCTTCATCCTGCTTGTCTACTTTTACTTTAACCTGCAAGGATTGCTGTCTTCACTGCCAGGGCAACAGTGTCTGTCTTTGGGTGCTCACAGCAGAGCATTAGAGAGAAAAGATGCAGCATCCGCCGTCCAAGGGAAAGTTCTAGCTTTGCCGCTTATAACTGGGTAATCACAGGCAGGCCATCCACTTGGACTCCGTGTCTATTCCCTTCTCTCTGAAATTAGAATAACACTGCCCTTTATAAGCCAAAAACACAGGACACATGAGAGGAACACAGGGACACAGAGCAGGGACATAAAGCTTCCGGGATGCGAGCTGATCCTATCCACAGCCCAAGAACAAAGTCCTTGTCAGCCCGAAGGTTTATTTTTCATCTTTATAGAGATCTATGATTGATCCTACAGAGTCTGAGGACTAACCCTCGCTTTCAGGTTATGACCTTAAAGTCACATGACTACTGACTGGTGGGATCAGCCCAGGAACCAGGTGCAGAGATGACAAAGGGCAAGCTGAGCAAATGACAGTGTCTGGGTGATGGGAAGGAAAAGAAGAAGAGGGAGGGGAGAAGAGAGAAAGGGAGAGAGGGACGGAGGGAGGGAGGGAGGGAGGGAGGGAGGGAGGGAGGGAGCAATCCCCCTCGGCTGGGCAGTCCTATGCTTTTCTCTGCCTTGGGCTTTTGTCATGGTTGTGTGGGTGGGTTTTGTTATTTTACATCATTACTGGAAGAAAGCCTTTTACAGAAATTGCTTAAAACTTCAGGGATTCTTGGGAGAGAGCAGTAAGATTAATGAAGCAAAGCTCCCCCACCTTATGCCAAGAACATCTCTGCTCCTTCGCTGCGTTGGCCAGAACAAATATCTCCCCGCACAGCACAGAACGCAGAAGACTGCAGACTCTTGAATAAACTTATTTTTAAAAGAACAAGGAAACCTGACTGAAGCAGAGAGAATGGCCAGTCCTCTCGTACCCCAGCCCCACCACCTACTACGGACCTTTGCGGCTACTCAAATGCTTCTTCTGGGTGTAACAAAGCCCCCATCCCAAGCTCAAACCCCCATGTATCGTGACTTTCCAAACTCTATGCAACAGCCACGTCCCTGACTTCTCTCTGTGAGGCCACGGCAAGTCCCTGACTCCACAGAACAGCTGGTGCCAGGCTCTGTGGGGGCAGCACTCTGAAAGATGCCCCGTGGGTTCCTCTCTGAGCAGCAGGACATCAGTGCTATCAGCCTGTCTGGAGGACCCATGCCTGGGGAGTGGGGGGGCATGGCTCGCCTGTTCTCCAGGGGAAGGAAGAGCAGAAACATCATGCCTTCAGTCTCCAACATGGAGAGCTGGGGACTCGTGATCAGTTCAAATGAATCCAGAAGACAAAAGAATGCAAAGAAAGAGCCACTTATGCTTAGAAAGTTAGAGCAGACCACTCCTTCTGTTTGCTTGGCATTTAGCACCAAAGTTCCAAGCAACCACACTAGAGAGTGTGAGTGACAGGGTTCATTAAAGTCCTTGGTCCCCTAGGCTGGAAACAGCAGCCAGGAGCGCTGATTACCATCCATACGCAGCTCTCCAGTGTGGTGTGTCTATCGATCAGTCCCTGCCGCTTACAGAGAAGGACAGACACATTCACATTTCAGACACCCCCTCTACCTATCTACAGGGTGGTGATGAGGGTTCGAACTCCGCAGCACACTGCAGTGGGATTATGCCACCTTCATGGCTGGAAGAGATGTAGTGGGTTACTCTGCAAAGGGCTCCCCTAAAAAGCATCTGCCTTATATTCTCAAAGAGAACCAGCTACTTAGAAATCCACCATGGAACCACCGACAAAACCAGACCCCCAAGAGCCTCCCTGCTGTCCCCAGTGGGAGGCCTGGTTTGAAATAGGCCACCTGGTCCCGAGCACAGATACGGTCTACAAGATGCTGGTCTGTCCTGACCCTCTACAGGATGCCCCACCACTAACACATGACCAAGCTTCCCTTCCTAGTGTGCTAGAAAAAGGAGGTGTGCCCCTGTCGACAGCAGCCACGCTGGGATTTGGACGTTTGCACGTGCAGAAACTGCAGCAGGCTTGCACAAGCCAGCCACTGTTATCACTGAGACTCAACAAAGCCCTGTTCCAGGAGCAAGGGAGGCAGGTGGGCAGGGAGGCAGGCTTCCATTCAACCAATTACTTGAAATACTAAGTCGTCCAGAGGGCAAAGACATGCCTCAATCAAAGGGCCCCCTCTGAGCCTCAAAGCGCATCAAGATCTGAGTAAAGTCCCCTCTGACTCCGTACAATCGCACTTCAAAAGCCCTCCCCAGCGAGCAGTGGATAGAAACACCTGTTCCATCCCTCCAAAGGACAGATGAAAAACACCGCTCAGACTCTGGCCCGTCTGCCAGTTACCCACAAACTAAAAGGATGGGTTCAGAGACGCAAGTGAGCAACAGCGTACATCAGACACGCATGATTGCTCCAGCCACCTCGAGGGTCACCTCTGAACCACCAGAAGAAAAAAAAAACGGGGAAACCCCTTTATCTTGCTGCTGCTGGACCCACAGCCCAGGCTGCCCTAGACATGTGTCACCAGAATATTTTCTCTGTGGCAGAGGAAGCGATATCAACTATTAACCTGGGAACACACTCAATGAGGGGGATCGATCCAAACGAGGGCAGAGCCAAGGTTCTGCTCCCAGGAAGATGCCGGAAGACTGGCCCTGACTTTCAGGAAACTAGGATGGCTCAGAATAGCACTGCGAAGTGTTCTGAGATGTTCAAACGAAGGATCAGTAAATCTTTTCAGCTCACTTTGGCTTTTACAGCTCTTAGCTGAAAGATTGTGAAGATGGGATGAGGCAGGTCTGGGGGCTTAGTGGGGAGAGAGCGTTTTGGTTTTGTATTTCACTAAAAGGGCTGGCCCTTCTTGCTCGGTGTTCTCCTTTCTCGTTGAAAATAAAGTAGTAGCACGCTGTTTGCTAGATGGTAAGATGCTGCACTCTTTTCTCAGAAATTACAGGCTTTAAGATGTCATATTTAAACAGCAGCATGGGCCTGTCATGCAGTCAGCCAAAAAAAAAAATGCAATCCCTGGTTAAAATGTGAATCCTAAAAGTTTGAAAATGTCTAACTACTTCCCCAGTGCATTATGAATTTTAATTTCAGAGCTCTGAGTCTGGCTTATTTTATGATGTTTTTTTTTAAATTTTATTTCTTCGTGGTCCCCTCACGCGCGCGCGAGAGCTAACACTACACATCTTTGAAATTCCCCCCAATCACACCTTTTACAAACTTAAATCAACAATGATATGTTCAAAAATCTTTGTCTTCCCTTTGAAACTGGATGCAAAAAAGAAATCTCTTCTGTCGGTGGAGACGGCTGTGAAAGACCGGGGAGCCTGCACATAGATTTCTTTAAACTTTTTAAACTGCTGTTTCTCTTTATCCCACTGGTATATCTGTGAGAAGGTATAGTCGCTCCCCAGGGCCAGGTAGTGGTTATTTTTGAAGGAGAAGGGCTGCAAGGTCATGGCCCCCCGGGACGGAAGAGCCTGGACCTCCACAAACTGCTTACTGTTCCACCGCATGACCCGGGAGTCCCCGATGAAACGGGTGAGCGAAAGGTAGAGGGTGTCCTGCATCCGGAAGCTCTTCACAGCCAGGACATCCTCCATGTTGGGGATGTCACCGTGGGGGACAAACTTCTTTGAGCTTTTGTTCCACTGCAGGATGATGGGGACCTGGGAGCGGCTGGACAGGATGAGGTGTGACTTCCCGTCGATGTCAACAAACTCGGCGTCCGTGTCCCTGAACCACTCATGCAGAGACTGGTACGAGTAGAACCCTTTGCTGTTCCACTTGTAAACCGTGGACAGGCCGGCTTTCGAGCTGTCGGCGATGATGAAGAACGTCTCGTCGTCGATCTCAAACAGCTCGATGTCGTTGGGCTTGGAAATCCGAGACACTTCTATGTCTTGGAATTTGACAAACTTGGTCCAGCTCTCGTCGTATTTGTAAATGTGAGAGCCACCGAAGAGCTGGGCCACCACCACAAAGACCTGGTCGTCGATGAGGATGGCCTTGCAGCCCACGATGGACTGGCCTGTGGCCAAGAGAAAGAGAAGGCATTAGTGTGGATGAGTGAGTGCTGAACCCCCCGCCCTGACCCTGTTTGCCCAAAGGGACTCTGGTGCTGTGGAAGACAGCATGGTGGTTCCTCGCAAGCTTAAATATCAACTACCTAGCTGACAATTTGACTTCTTGATACAGACCAAAAAGAGCTCAAAGCAGGGGCTGGAATAGAAACCTGGATAACAAATCAAGAGATCAAATGTTCATGCATCCCTCAAAGTCATACACGGAAACCTGACCTTGTTAGGTTTCAAGCAAATGTTAAGGTGGAAAGAGTGAGGTTGGTGTCTCAGTTACAGTTTCTATTGCTGTGATAAAGACGTCACCAAAAAAGCATGACCAAAAAGCCACTGGTGGGCAAAGGTTTTATTCCAGCTTACAGTTCCATATCACAACCCATCACTGAGGGAAGTCAGGACAGACACTTAAACAGACAGGGCCCTGAAGATAGGAATTGGATCAGAAACCACGGAGGAGGGCAGTTACTGGCTTGATCCTTGTGGTTTACTCAGCCTGCTGTCTTATAGCATCCAGGACCACCTCCGGACGGGTGACACCGCCCACAGTGAGTTGAACCCTCTCATATCAACCATCAGTCCAGAAAATGCTGCACAGAGAGATGCACAGACATGTCTACAGGCCAGTCCTATGGACGCATTTCTCAATGAAAGAGTCCCTCTTCTTCCAGGATATGTTTAGGCTTGAGTCAAGTTGACAAAAACCAACCAGAACATGGGAAAAGATAAAGAAGAGGGCTTGCATGTGGGGTCTGAGACAGCCAAGCAGACCATGTAAGAGGAAATCCAGGGCTCTGGGAAAAGCATCAAAGCCAGTCTTGGCCAGATCCCACAGAGGCCCTCTTTGGGGAGCGCACTAGCTGATTTTATGTCGACTTGGCACTAGTTAGAGTCATCAGAGAGCAGAGAGTCTCAATTAAGAAAATGCCTCCATAAGATCTGGCTGTACCCAAGCCTGTAGGGCATTTTCTTAATTAGTGATCAATGGGGGAGGGCCCAGCCCAGTGTGGTGGTGCCATCCCTGGACAGGTGGTCCAAGGGTCTATGAGAAAGCAGGCTGAGCAAGCCACGAGGAGCAAGCCAGTAAGCAGCACTCCTCTGTGGCCTCTGCATCAGCTCCTGCCTTGGGGTTTCTGCCCCGTTAGTGCCTGTCCTGACTTCCTTTGATGATGAACTATGATGTGGAAGCATAAACTGAATACCCCTTCCTCCCCGAGTTGCTTTGGTCATGGTGTTTCATCACAGCAATACTGACCCTAAGACAGGGAACATGCACCATTGCACCTTCTCCTAATAAACTTGTTGGCTATATTGGTAGTTACTCCTTTCTATGCGTTCTTGCACTAAAGACATTTAATGACAGCAGACTGAGTTGTAGGTCAAAATGATTCCAAGAAAATCTTCAGCTCTTCTGGAAAAGCGATTACCCCAAACCACCCCAGGGCTGGCTAACTGGAGAAGCAGTGGGTCAAGGATTGGAAGTCCAGATGTGAAGGTGGCTGGTTGCCACAGCTTGCCTAGGTCTGTCCTCCATTCTAGAGGGACCTCTTTCCTTTCATTTATCCTCCTGTTGAACATCAGCAGCCTGCTCACTCAAGCTGTGCCCTGGTGTGAGCTCTCCCTCTGCAGAACAGAAATCTGTGCAGCCATGGCTGGGGCTGGAGGCCATTAGGGAGTAGGGTTTCTCCATCCTTAACAACCTTGGGGGATGGGACCAGGAAGCAGTGTTTGAGGAGCTGACTAGGTCACTCATGACTAGAATTACCCCCAGAAACCCTAGGGGTCTCCTGCCCTTCCACCATGAGGAGACTGGGGAGGGGTGTGAGGACCTGAAGGACTAGGGAAATGGCTCTGGGTGTGAGTACAAGGATCTGAGGTCAAAGCCCCAGGTCCTAGAATCCCTGTGCTCCTACAGCAAGATGGGAGGAGGAGACAGGAGAAGTCTATGTAGTGTAGGAGACAAAGAAGCTAGGTTGGTGCAGACAAACAACAAGAATACATCTCAGACAAGATGGAGTGCATGAAAGACCAGAATGGATACGCAAGGTCTTCTGACTTCCACAGATGCAGTGAGGCACATGTGCCTGCACACACACACACACACACACACACACACACACACACACACACACACCCCACATACATACCACACACACACACAAACATACCACACCACACACATACCACAGACACATACAACACATACACCACACACACATACACATGGCACACAACATACACACATGACACACACATACCACACACACAAATTCACACACCACATACACATACCACACACACCACAAACACGTACACACTCCACATACACCACACACATA